CGCACTCGCACGGAAAACGTGAGGTGCGGGTTCGACTTTCCGTCTGGGGTTCGACTATTGCCCATAACTCAACATTCCTGTGCTATTGCATTGTCTTTTTTCTAGTTTTTTTTTCCACAACTGAATCGTACTACGCGCATGTTATTTTTTCATGAACGATGATTACAGTATATTAAACCAGCGAACAAAAAAATTTTGTCGTTCCTTTCATATTTGGAAACCGCTCTTCTCAACTGATTTCGACCACAACACGAAGATGGCACTTCTGCCATACTGCAACTTGAGACTTCGAGCAGAACCAGTTGCCAGGTAATGCAGAACGTCGCAAAGGAAAGCAGATCAAAAGCCCTTCCCTATCAACGAAAACGGATTCAGGTAGAGCAATAAAAAAGAAAACTACCTGGCCTATGGCGTAGACCACAGCATGAATCGTTGCATTCAGAAAGTAAGATAAGAGGAGAATCTGAAAAAAATAAAGGTTGTATGAAAGGAGGAAGTAGAAACCATCATCTCCTGAGTGAAACCATGAGAAACGAAACGGGTCATAGCCACCGACGGGTTGGACGAAATTTGGGCGAAGCTTTCTCATCTGCTAGCGTTACCTTTGGACAATTATGATGACATGTCTCATTTAACGGGCAGTGTTTTTGCTTTCGGATGGCTGTAGCAGCAGTTTCATAACGTTGGGCTTTCAAATTTATTTTCAGTTCCTTTTATACTGTGGCCCCCGGCAGAGACCCTTCCTAACACTGGCTTTTTTTTATTTAGAATACTCAACGTTCCGTCCACAGTCGGCTGAACGATATTCAGATCATCCCTGCTACCGTACTTGACCACGAATCCACGCAAGCAGAGGTGGGATCAGCACGCAAGCAAAGGAAGACGTGTTCATCCTGGCAAAATGATGTCAAATTTTATCTGCATGTCCTGGGAACATTATCTTTAATCTTAATGTCGTGAGGACAACCGAGGTTTGATGGCACTATGCGTCCCGAACGAGGCACCTCGTAAATTGAGGACCACTCGCGTGCCGTCCTCAGATATGCACAGTACTTGCTTATACATTCAGTTCAGTGTACATGATATTTATACAGCGTCCCTTTGATGCATATTGCACTGTTTCTAATTGCTTATAAGTATTTTCACTTTTGGCGTTTGATACCATGTGTTTGTAGGTAGCGGACAAAGGTGCTTCCTTCTGATAATCAGATCCGGAATGTGTGTTCGGCACTTTTCAGAGCCAAGTGGCTCCATATTGCTTCTCTATTCCATTGGTTTGCTAGTTATTACAGCGCTTCCCTACCCGTGCTACATTGTTATCACAAACTGACTTTTGATTGTCACTCCAACCTGGCGCTGATTGAGAGCTAGGTTTTTCCTATGTAAGTACCGCAAACATTGTTTTTCTTTCTTACATTTCGAACTGATAGTGCCAGCTCCACTTGTTTTGCTTTTTATTTTTCTTGTTTTTGAGGCTAACTATACGGCATATCTTGAACAAAAAAAGAAATGGACGAACCTTAAGATTTGGATGGAACGTGGCCTTCGATATGTACTTTACCTCCACATATGATAGAAGGAGAATAGCCGCAATAGACTCCATTGTTGCCAAGAAATTTGGCAGCTACGGTACACTGAACTTCTTGCTGCCTCAGCGTCTCGCTTCAATTACATTACATTCACGAAAAAGAATTGAAACTTAAGAAGGATATGTAATTGACAGTATTCACAATCCTGTTAAATCTTGGTCACCATTCCACTCATGGAAATTATCCCAATGATATGAGAACCAGTGCGAAATTCTAATTCATCGACATATCCCACGTAGCAGTTGACCCTTGCAATTGCGTTCTTCTGAACCTTTTGTCCGCGACTTGAGAGGGTGAACACAAATCTGCGTTTGGAATTTGCTGAGCGAATTCCTAAA